CAAAGTTAGAACATTAGAATTATGTATAAAAACAAAAAACTTAAGGAAGGCGACCTTGTAAAGTCTGGTTACTTAAACTGGTGAAATCTCTGCCTGGGGGATTCACAGACTGTGATTTTGTTTACAAGTGAGAATTAATTTGTTACTTTTGATAGGAGCCGGAGGCTTTGAACTCTGGGTCTCTGTCAGTACCTTGGGGAAAAATGTCTCAAGGCAAATATGGAGAGTGATCTTTCCTTGGGATATTGTTGGGCACTTATTTTCTGACTGCAGTAATATAAGCAAAGTCTAGAAAAAACAATCTGGACTGTGACTGATTAGACAAAACAAATGGAAGCTTCAAGCTTACTGAGGAAAAAGATTGGAACTGCTTTGGCAACACATCTGTTGAACAGCGTGGTAAAAAGACACTTAATTTAGGAATCTGAAATTCTTTCTGCTGCTTGCAGAAGCATATGCAGGGTTAGTATCAAAGTGATGAGAACATAACACCAATTCAGCTTCTTCTGGGAAGTTTCCTTAGTCAGATATTTGCCCCATATCATTGCTTGCTCTGGAGCACTTGATTGTTTTTTTTTCTCTATATTTTTATTTGTCTTTACACACATAAAGGACAGTGGTATTAGTCCCAAGAAAGGGCTAGTGATGTTTTCTATTAGCTGAAAATAGGGCTGGAAAGGACCTTGTTGGTGCCATGTATGGTGGGTTGACCCTGGCTTGCTTCCAGCTGCTTGCTTTGACAGCTGCTTGCTTCCCTGTTTCTCCCACTCTCTGCAGGTCAAGGGGAGGGAATAGGAACAGGAAAAGCAAGAAAACTCATGGGTTGTGAGAAAGACTGTTTAGTAAGTGAAGGCTGTGGGGTGACCTAATTGCAGCCTTTCAGTACCTAAAGGGAGCCTATAAACAGGAGGGAATCAACTCTTTGAAAGGGTTGATAACAGCTGGACAAGGGGAGTTGGTTTTAAGTTGAGAGAGGGAAGATTTAGGTTGGATGTCAGAGGGAAGCTCTTTACAGAGAGAGTGGTGAGGTGCTGGAACAGGCTGCCCAGAGAGGTTGTGGATGCCTGTTCCTGGAGGTGTTCAAGACCAAGTTGGATGGGGCCCTGGGCAGCCTGGTCTAGTATTAAATGTGAAGGTTGGTGGCCCTGCATGTGGCAGGGTGCTTGGAGATTCATGATCCTTGAGGTCCCTTTCAACCCTGGCCATTCTGTGATTATGTGGATAGACTGAGAGAAAAAAACAAAGGCTATGCGAGACAAATCCCACAAGCATGCCAGTGTCCAGCCAGTCTTTGAGAACAGCTGCCTTGGAAGGTGAACATCCAAGAGAATAAAACTTCAGATATTACTGTTGAGTATGATGCTATATGGTATGAATAACCCACTGCATTTGAGACTCAGGCTGTATCCCATGCAGCTTCTTGGCTACCCCTGGCCTTCTTGCTGAGGTGGGCACAGAGCCTTGACACTGTGCAAGCACTGTTGAGCAGCAGCCACAACACTGCTGTGTTGTCAGTGCTGCTGTAAGCCACCAAACAACAGCATCATACAGGCTGCTTTGGGAAGGTTAACTGTCATAGCCAGGCCAGGTCAGTCCTGTCTCCTGTAGTCAGATCATCAGAGTAATAAACTTCTCCCACAGAATACATGCTTTTCCTTGCACGTGTATGACTTAGGGTTTCTCTGCACGTGTATTTTGATGTTAATAACAAAACTTAAGGCTACGATGTATTTTCCCATCTACCAAAAAAAAACAGTGCACCAGACCATGGTCATTTGGGTAAGAACGTGAATTTGTTCTTCTCAGTGACAGAGCGTGAAAATCTTCTTGACTATGCTGAAGTAAAGAGTTTAATTTTAATAGAGAGGGCCTTTGATCATTTCTCACTTTCATCTCATATTCCTCCCATCACACCGAACTTCCTTATGATTTCAGCAAGTATATGTCAGTTTTTAGGAATTATCTAGGATGTGTGGGTCAGAAAGTCTGATAAGGTACTAGCATTTTAGTAACATTTGAAAGCAGTTAATTGCTCCTAAGCTGGTAAAAACTCATCTTGAATTCAAAGAGAATGTGCTGTGGCTTGCAAACTACAGTACTCATGATTTGGGAAAAAACTGTCACACAAAAACTGCTAAGAGATGATCATAGTTGTTGTTTCATTGGCCCAACTACTTTGATTTCCTCTGTTATACAGGTAATTAGCTTATGAGGAGTCAGTTTGAGAAACTAGATGAAATATCATTTGTTATTCTTTTTCAGTAGGTAGATGTTTAGAACAGGTTCTTAAATCAACGGTAGTTGAAAACTCTTGTGTAGTTTTTTTCTGTAAAATCCAGCTTTAGACGGTTGATTCAGTACAATTTATAAACTGTAAATTTATTAAATTTATTATTATTTATTGTCTTTATATAAAGAAAATCAGTGATATTTGGTTCTCACAGTTGTTCCTCGATGTATGTGGGGTTTTAAAAATCTTAAGTATTAAATGCTGGCAGGAAATGTGAAGCTTGACATTAAGCGTTTGCCTGTAACTGACTGCTTTGGCACAAATAGGTGCAATTTTGTACATGAATGGTTTTGAATTAAGTGAAAGATCACCAAGTGCTAAATTAGCACTAATTAAATTGGCGTGTATCTATTACTATTTTCTGTAGCCATCAGCAGATTGCCAGCTAACATGCACATCGGTGTGTGAATGTACGTTTTTCATTCTCCAGTGTTTCTTTAAGTATTTTACAAAACAACACAGTGTTAATTTTACTTATTTTTGCAGAGCTCCTTGTGTGAGTGTCTCAGGTTCTTGTGGGCACAAACAGGAATTGGAAAGAAAGCCCTTTTGCTATAGAAGCGCTTGCACATTGGTTTGCTACAGAGTGTAGCAGCCTTGCATGCAGGGGCTGAACAGGCTAACAGGTCAACAGAAAGGCTGAGCAACAGGCAGCAGCAGACTGGACCCTTATGGATGGAAAAATAAATTCCTGAGCTTGGCATTGAGTTTGCCACTGCCAGAAATATCCATGTGTTGTCTGTACTGAAACACGTTAAGGAGAAAAGATTAAAAAGAAGCACAGCGTTAACACTATGAACAAGAAGAGGCAGTGCCAAGATTTGGATTTATCCTCTGGCTGCTTTTCTCTCTAGCTGTAGTATTGTAGAAGATGAAATGTCAGCTGTAGACCATGTTTCATTCAAACAGTATAGAAGCTGCAGAGAAAGGATTGCTGTGCAAACATCCGCTGCCAAACACGTTTTGGTCAGCTGTTATTGAAACGCCAAATAGTTGGGTTTTCTGTTAGTGTGTTGTTAAGGAAAACTTAGCCCTATTAAAACAAGAGGAAAACAAGCCCATTCAAACAAGAATGACAAACTACTCTTGTTTTAAGATTTAAGGATAGAAGAGTACCTGAACTGCTAATGATGGAACAAGTATGTTTTACTATTAAAAAATATATAAATTGAAATAAGCACATTTATTTGGTTTTGCTGTTGGTTTTCCTTGATATTATTATTAAACTCCTTTTCGCTGTAGCTTAACATACAAAACGTGCCAAAGTTAAATAGAATGTAAGAAGAACATACCAGTTCTTAATTGGTACTAATCTAGAAGCTGGGGACTCGTGGTGGTGGGGAATAAAGGCATTTTAAAGAGCTTATGTTCTTTCTACCAGATTCTAGTACTTGCAACTGTTACTGTGTTCTCAGTCTTGCAAGTGGAAAGTAGGGTTTTTTTTATTCAATGTTTTAAAATTTAAGAAAAAGATAGTGTTTAATAGAAGAAGGATCAAATGGAGTGTGAAATGATGCAGAAAGTTAAAGACCCAATTGGATTTTTTTGTTTAAAATGAAAAGGCCAACCTGTGTCAACATAGCACTTTGCACTCACTAAAGTAGAAGTAAGCAGTTGTTACATAGCTCATAAAAAATACAATACTGCAAGGGTTGTATCAGTAAAAGTAAAAAATTAACTTCCTGTGTTTTATTAGAGGATTTTTACCTGTGCTATTCTCAAACTAAGACTTGACATAAAAGGCAGTGCTTGCTGGTTCAAGCAAATGAGTTAAATGTCACTCTGTTTTTCATTGCCTAGGCAGATGTGACGCTGAGTAGCTGCCTCCTGCGATTCCTCTTGTACCTGCTTGTAGATGGAAACTTGTCTAGATCTTGTGGTCAACCAAACAGCACTGCCTTTTTGATTTCAAGTCAGGAACAGAAAGTTGCAAATGAATTTCAGTATATTGATTTCACAGAAAATTACATGAGCAAAGCCTTCTCTTTAAATGGCAGGAATGTGTCATCTGAGGACAGTTGAAACAAAAAATGTGACTTGTCCATTTCATCTGAATCTTTATCAGAGAGCTTGCAGTATTCTGGAGGACCAATTTCTTAATAAAATGCAGGAAAATAATAGGAAAATAATCCAAGCTTATATATATATATATATATATATATATATATATATATACACACAAATATACAAATATGCCTTCAGAATCGTTTTATAGAAAGATTTGTACTCTTGTAGGCAGTAATATGTCCCATTAGTAGCGTAACTTCCCTAATGTTGTTTGCTCTTGTCGCAATAGGAATGTTCCCTTTAGAGAGAGAGAAAAAAAAAAAAAAAAAAAAAGGTAAACTACAGATGTCTTTATCTTCTTTAGTTCCAGAATTACTCAGTTAAGATACACATGTACAGAACCACTGATTATTAGCGAGTATTTACTTCAAGGAATAGAAGTTCCAGCGTTCCTCTTTCCCATTTCTCAATGTGTTTGAGCAGCACTGTGCTAATGTCAGTACATTTACCTCACAAGGGACTTCAGTGCTGGGAAAGTGCTATTATCTCTGTTCTGTGAACACAGTTTCTAGAAACTGAGTTTCAGCCTGCTATTGGGTTGTTTTCCAGTAAAAAGTGGCCCAAGGGTTTTTTTGGGTACTGTGTGGAACACTGCTAACAAGTCATCACCCTCTCCCTTTCTTCCCCTCCTTTCCTTCTGAAGACATCTTCAGGCTGCCTCTGCCTTTTCCTCCAATTCCATCATCTTCCGGATGAAGCAGAACTGTTTTTCCATCTTCACCAGCCTGCACAAAATCTGAGATACTTAATTTCTACCTCTGAGTCTCCTGTCATTTTGCTTTTCATCAAATCATGACTAATTTCTTAATTTCTACTCTGAGAATCTTATTTGATTTCTTAGTAGAAGTAAACATAGAAAATGAAAATGATGTTTGTCATCTTTCTCACCAGTGCCATTTGTTTTGCTTTGGTTGTCCTCATTGTGCCCCTTGCTGCAGTGATGAAATACCTTCTTGCTGCTCACACTTCTCCATGGATCGATTGTTTTGCTTTCAATTTATTTATGACTTCCCCAGCTTTTACCACTCCCAGTGGTAAAGTCCCTCAAGGACTCTTGCTTCTAGTTATGAATGCTATCCTTATTCTCTCTGTGATGTTCATTTTCTTTGCCCTGTCAGCAATGAGAAGGAGTGTAACTGTGCAAGAGTTGATACCAAAGGATCTGGTAGCTCATTATTCAATAAAATTCCTGACTTTGAAAGACATGTTTATGTCTGTTTCTTGTTTATCAGTTTATAGAATACAAAAGAAGCCCTATGGACTCTTATGTTATTTTTGGAAACTCTGTGATGGGCAGTTTCTAATTACTGTGTTCACATGCTTACCTTAACTGTGAGTCTATAGGCACTGTCACAACATACAGTGGTGCAGTTTTGCATCCACTTCTATTCAAAACCTGGAGGATAGAATACAGGCTGTATCTCTTCCTCCGGCTGGCCTTTATGAATTAGCAAAATGTGTGCAAATAGTTTTAATCTTTCACCCAAGAGCAGAATAAATTTGCAGAGATAATTCTGTGGTCAGTATGCTTGCAGTAACTGTTAGCATTTACTTAGGCTGTATAGCATGGCAGCTAGAAATAGGAGTATGTTACTAACAGAGATTAGTTAATTACAATGCAGCAGCTTGCACTGATTGTAAATAATGATGGCCACAGAATGCAGCTCTAACATTAGCAGCTTGGTTTTGTAATGTGTTTATGTAAGTATACTGTCAAGGTTTTTTAATGTAGTGAAGCTTCAAAAATATTTGTATTTGCCCTATTGGCATCTCAGTATTCTTGTTTGTTTTTTTTGTTTGTTTTTTTTTTTTTTCTCCTTGTTTTTTCTTGTTTTCCTTTCAGTGTATGTATACTTAAAATTGCAAGTATGACTTGAAGTCACTCTTATTATGTTAATCTATATAATAGATAAGGCATTGTTTTGAAAGTTATCCTTGCAGCTCATATCCAATATCTTGCCTGCTTTGCTATGAACCTTGGAAGTAGAGAATTCTAGTGTTATCTATTAGTAGCTCTTAGTACTGTAGACATGAATTTGACACGGTAGTAAACAAGATAATGATAGAAAGATGGGTAGGGAATTAGTTCTCAACTTCCCAAGTATACATGAATGAATTTAAATCAGGGTAGCCCATTGTAATTAAGGTCTGTAGTAGAAATCTTCTCATTTAATACAGATACTTAAGTATCTTCATTAAAAATTAGAACTTGAAGTTCAGTTTTGATCAGGTGTTAGCTTTTTAAAGATGTATCAGGATAAGTCTAACCATTTGCAACGTGTTGCGATGGATCACATTTTGTTGCATGCTTTTGGATGGTATTGTCTGAGTGAATTGTTTTGCTAATATAAATATATTTCCAAAGATTAATCTGTATATATGTATGTGTGTATATATATATATATATACATATATATCCAAAGATTAATCTGTGTATATACACACACACACACACACACATATATATATATATATATTTTAATGTTTCAAGAGAGAAAGTTCCTATTAAGTGTGGAATGTTGATACTGATGTTCTTCTTCAGAAACTTTTATGACCTTAGAGAGGGTGAAAATAAGGTCCCTTTTTGGCCCTGCAGCTGAGGAAATCTCAGAACTTGGAACGTGTTGCCAGAAGAAGCAATGAAGGCTGTTCACTTTGCCACATTCATTTTCTAGATTTTCAGAATGATGCCTTCATTTGAAAAATTTAAAGGGAAGAAATAAATCTTACTTACTGATAGTTAGATAGGAAAGTTGAGAGCATATCATAGTGTGGTGATGTAAGTTTTGGCTTCAGGTTTTATTTTTCAGAAGCATTTGAAGGGCACAAACACATAAGAGACACATACTTTTATGTGCAATGGAATAGACAGAAATTAACAGAAGACAATATAGACAGTGTAAGGAATTTGTTACTAGCTGATAAGAATCCAGTATTTTGAGTCAGATTTTTTTTCCCCTGACAAAGATTAAACTAGGGAGTAATAATGCTTGATTATTTGTTAAGGGTTAACAAATAATTTTTAACAAAATTATTTTTAACAAAATTAATTAATTAATTAATTATTTTTAACAAAATTAACAAAAAAAATGGGTTTGTTAAACTCATGCTGAATTGGTGTTGAAGTTGTTTGGAAACAAATCGAAACATATAATTGGTTTTATGTATCTCATTATCTATCAACAGTGATCAAACCTCAAATGTATCATTTTCTGCCTTGAATAAATAGCACTAATTCTTAGATGTGTAGTGTTAATTTATTCTTTGAATTGTCATCAATTTTCAGTGTTTTTATTCTTAGTGGGCCACAATTCTTTAAAACTCACAAATGACTCAATGTAGCAGTAAGACAAAACTTGCCTTCAAAACTGCCTTTGTACCATTATTAGAAATAATAGTATAAAATCCAAATAGTGTAAACATTCAAATTAGTCCTATGTTTTCCAAAACTGCATTTGCTTCTTGATTTAAGACAACAAAAACCCTAGAAAAAAAAAAAAAAGATGTGAGTAATTTCAGCATGGTAGCTTTCTGAGCTTTCTGTAATCCAGAGAAAATTCTGATATTCATAATCAATTCCACAGTCCAAGGGAAAAAGGATATGCTTTATTTATAGGATGATGTACCATGAGGATATTCTGGGGCTGATGAGAGATTTCTGATTACCATCTGCTGCAACTACTCAAGTTTCAGAGTGGATTAACTATGTATACCGAGACCGTAAGATCCTAAATCCATCTGTAGACTGTTTATCAGTAGTGGTAGTCTATGTAAAATGTCCTTGGGTGAAGTGTCCAGGTTCTTGCCTGCACAGGAAGCATCTTGGTACCTGGAAGCGATAGTGTTAAATGGTTTCAGTCAAACCACAGACTATTGTTGGAACTCATTAAATGCATCTTTTCCATTTTGGTGAAAATGAAATTGGAAATTGAATCTACTGGGTCTAAAGGTGAGACAGTGGTCAAAGGTGCTTTACAGAAGTTTGTCAGGTCAGCAGCCATGGTTTTACAGGCTTAAAAATAAAGGAAGATGAGGGTAGAACACACTTTACTTAAAAATCTACATCTAAGACATGATTCAGTGCAGATTTTAAGATTTTTCAAAGCTCTATTCTAAGTATACAACAACTGGAGAATTCTCCGGTTAAATCCCATTCTTTAAGAGGTAGCTGTATAGGAATTTACAGATATGCCATTTGTCAATGTCTTATGAAAAACAGCTTAATTTTGCCCACTCTTTCTAGTTAGAAGTACTATTTTCAGTCTCCTCCTCACGCCAACACTTATGAAAGCTGCTGGAATAAAATGACTTTAACAGGTGGTAACGGGTAAAGACAGGCAAATAGGTGGACATTTAAGCATAGCTATGTTAGTCTGATATAATTTCCCTGCTTGACTACTTCCATGGGATCTATAGATGTCAATTTGTTTTCTCTCTTAGGGAGACCTTTTCCTGTTGGAATAGAACAGTAATGTAAGTCTGATCCTTGTGTTGTTCTATAGTCATTTCCTAAACCATGATCCCCAACTGTAGCCTAATCGAAGTAGTTTTTTGCATTGGTGTTTTCCTTCTTTCAGTTACTGAATCCTTACTAAACTCCTTGTGCCTGTTTTTTCTATTAGTTGAACCCCGTAGCCTGAAAAGGGACCAGGAAGGTTTTTTAATCTATTCTTAAAACAGCTGCAAAAGGAAAGAGAATAAACTGTACTTAAACTCTTTTTGGCCCAGTGCTTTTCCAAGCTAATTTTAGTGAACACATGTTTAGTAAAGGCTGTAAACTTAAAATACATGTTCTGAGAGCTGTCTTTTTCTTTGCAATTTTTATTGCAGTGGTTGATTAATTAATGTTTGTGGTACGATCAATGGCCCTATGAATGGTAGTTAGAAGGCTCTTGTAAGCTGAGGACTTGGCAAATACTTTTAAATGAAAAACACTAGCTAGCTTTTGCAAAATGAGTGGAAATTTTCCTGGCAAGCTATGGTAGCATTAACAGAAAAAGAAACACGTCCTTGCTGTTGACTAAAGAACTTGCTTTCTAACTTCGTGTTATCACTGAATTAATAAATAAAAGATTGTCTTATCCTCTGTTGCTGAGGAGCAATTGGTTTACAATATTGGAAAGCATAAAGTGCTGGAATTTCATGTCAGTCAGCACTGCAGTCGGGAAATGATCAATAATTTGAGGTTTTTACTTCGTGATTATTAGGATGTATACTGCCCTACCATGGAAATGTTGTGGTGTCTGCAAGGACAAAAACACCTGGAATAAAACTCATCCAATATTAAGGTAAATTTCCTAGGGAGTTTCATGAGGAAGACAATGGAGACTGTGAACCACAGGGTCAGTTAAATACATTCCAGAAGTTGCTGGAACTAGATGGCTTTAGTGTAATTTCAGGGCTGCTGAGACAATTTTTGCTTAGGTGCCTGGCACTGAAAATCCAGAATACTGTATTTTATGTTAGAGTGGCTAAAGGAAGTTCTAAAACAAAGATATGTAAGCTATTAAAGGATGTAGAATGAGTGTTATATTCCTGGGGTTCTGTAAATCAGAACATAATTAGTTTCTTACAAGACTCATTAAGTGTGAAAAGCCATGGCCAAGTGGAGTCAGAAGAGTTTGGTGTAATAAAGTATTGAAGTTGCTAGTATCTGTAAACATCTTTGTAATATTACGTGGATAAGACAATTTGCTTTTATTTTCCAAGAAAAATAGCAAGTGTGATATTGTGGTATGTCCTTGTCTTTAAAGATTTG